GAGAAGTTATAGTCATTTATTTGTGCATTGCCTCAATAGATTACAGTACAACATTAATGCACCAGATACTCTAGCTACAATAAATATGTATATTGAAAGATCTAAAATGGCAAGAAATCGTACTTGGGCATCAGAAGTTGAAATTTATGCTATGGCCCACTTACTGCATACTTCTATAGTTATTTTTAATAATCCCTGCAGATGTAGAAGCAATATTCTAACTGTGTGTAATTGTCCACCTTATAATTGGATTGATGTTCGGTGGACTGCTGCTATTCGCCACGCTGGCATAGCTGTGCAATATTCAAATGTTGCACCATCGCTGTATCTTTACCATCCACCCAATCACTATGAAGTAGTGACTGACATAGTGGATTAAGCTTTACACAGGTATAATGGGTTTACACGCTATATTCACTTGTTTTGATAAATCTATCAAACATGTTGAATGTGTTCTCATATGCCTTTTAAAAATACACGGTTGATCACCTTAAATTCACATGTTTTCATTGTCATAATTTGACTTTTAAATGTTACATGTTGAATGTGTCCCGTGTCCCAAAAAAATCATATACCACAAGCAAGAGAAAGGTAAGACTTCCCCTTTGTTTTCTATGTTATTTCTCTTCATTACAGGTCATTATGTCACATACAATTGTCAAACCAGTTCCAGTATAGCTACTATTCAAAAAATATGAAATCTACTGTGTATATACTTCAATACACACAGGATGAGACATAACCAGACACACAGTAACATAATAAAATACTATTATGAAATTATTTTCTGTTATAATTACTAGTACTTATGAAGAAAAAAATTAAACGAAAAGCACATAAAAAGACAAAGGTTTAAAATGATTATATTGATATTAATAAAGTAATGGATACCATGTTTATATTGCTAATTTCTCTTGCTTTTTGTTTTAGAATGTTTCTCCTCTAAAGAATACGCATATTACCAGACACACAGTAACATTATCAAATATTATGAAATTATTTTATGTTATATTTACTAGTACTTATGAAGAAAAGAAAATTAATCCTACAAAAATACTTCAATAAAAAATGACTGAAATTAATCCTACAAAAATACTACAATAAAAAAATGATTGGCCCACTGAATTACATGTGGATATTGACATAACTAAAAGCACATAAAAGAAAAAGACAAAGATTTAAAATGATTATATTGCTATTAATAAAGTAATTGATACGATGTTTATATTGTTAATTTCTCTTGTTATTTCTTTTAGAATGTTTCTCCTCTTATTTATGATGATATAAGTAAAGAATATGCATATTGGTGTCAACAGAGAATAGAGATAGTATAAAGAGTAAGGTTATGTATTTGGAGATTATTTTACTCATTATTATTAGTGCTATTATGGGATTAACAAATACATCTACTAGTGCATCACAGTGACTCACACAGGTGTAAAATAAAACACATGGAAAGAGGAAGGTTAAAAGAGGTATGTGTTTGTACAAGTATTCTGTATTACTATTAACAAAGCAAAATAATTCAATGTTAATTTCCTTTTTATTTCTTTTAGAATATTTTTCCTCTAACTTTATGACACAAAATAAAAGCAGCAAAAACAATATAACATGTCCAAGAGTAAGGCTATGTATTTTGAAATAATTCTATTCTTATTATTAGTGCCATTACAATGAAAATTGCACACACTAGTGTATCACAGTGACTTACACAGGTGTAAAATGAAACACAAGGTTAAAAGTGATATGTTTGTATACAAATATTCTGTATTATCTATTAAGAAAGCAAAATGTTAATTTCCTTTTAATTTCTTTTAGAATATTTCTCCTCTAACTTTATGATAGTACAATTAAAGAATATGCATATTCTCATCATACAACCTACAATTATACAGTAATTTAAAAAATAGATTGTGGTAAACTTTCACTTTTTCTTTATAGTTACTGGAACTGATATTTCTTTTACAATTTCTTTGGCAATTTTTCCAGTCCCATACATTTCGAGGTTATCTTTCTATCTTGATTGCCCTTAAAATGCCATTCCCTTTAGAAATGGAACTTGACCTTTCTCTTGCACAAACAGAGCATCATGTTGCCACTTACAATGGGTAAACAACATTAAATTAATCATGTCACATGTTTACATACTTTATCAGTGCACTTCAAATTATGTACCTACTCAACCAAGCATAATAGGAACTGCAAACCTTAAAAAGTAGCATATATTTATATTATAATACTCTACATAACTACACGTATTTCTCTCCTTAGAAAAAAATAACAGCAGTCATCAATATTAAATTTTCCAAGCAGCAAACAATATACCTCAAAAAGGAGCATTTTTGTCACAAATAAAAGCAAGAATTTGCATAATTTACTACATTACATTAAGTATTTTTTCTTAATACTATTGTTGTCACTGTCTCTTTCTCTTTGTACTAGACCATCACAAAATTCTCATTTTATTACACTAACCATCAATACTCAAATCAAACTATAAGTCATTCTAAATTATGATGCTCAACAAAGTTAGTCTATTGCTATAAATGCTGAAATGCCAACAGCTCTAATTTCAGAAAAAACCTGACCATATCATTGAAATAAATTAATACTACATTTTTAAACAAAAAGTATTGTCAAAGTTCTTTTAATTTTACAAATAATGAACTTATTATAACATATTTCTTCTTTTAAAAAACTAATAGTGGTCATCATTGTTTCTTCATCATAAAACAGTCAAAATTCATTGCAGTTCTTTCTTGTCATTTTACTATTAACAAATATATTACCCAGTCATAAGTAAGAAATAATAATGCTCATCTATTATAAAGGCAGTGAACACATAATAACAATTAACTTGTTCTTATCACTCTTATTTGCATTTCCCTAGAGTATATTTTCTCATTGTAAAACAACACCTTTCATGGAGATGTCTATCAATATTATTATCATAGATATCTATGTCTCTTCGTCATAATAACTTACCTTTAATCATCATTGGCTCATTTTGCATAGTATAAAAATGACATAAAAAGTAACATCTATTCAGCAAATCACAGCGGCTATCACAATTATTAATACATATTTTACACTTTTTAGATGAAACATTATGCTTGTCATTTTTTACTTCTCAATCATCATAAAGCAATGTCCCTAGTGACACTATTCATGTTATCAAAAAAGTCAGTCATATTTACATGTACATATTTCACTTATTCTTTATTTAAGAAAACAATCTACAATGATTGCTTTGCAGTACTTAATACAGAATCAAGACAGAATTTAAGTAGAAAACATGACAACCCATAGTACCATATCTAAAATTATATATGTATAACATGATAATTTACTGTCTTTTAGGAAAAGTTAATTTCTTCACATGGACACTAATAGCAAGTACACAACTGCATATGCCTAATGTTCTCTAACACATGATGGATACCTTTTTGACTGCCAGCATTCTTACATTAAACAAATCTTTCTACATGTATATCACTTTCATATACAGTTACTTTTACATCAGGTAACTCTAAATTATTAATTTGTATGTATTTTACATATGCCCATGCAGTTCCTACAACCAGGAGAGGTTTGTCCACATTCATGACATAACATTTCCTGACTCTCCACTCTCCCTTCATTCCCTCTGTCTTTGCTAAATGCTCCTCCCATAAAAAGCAAGCATTCATTCATAATACCACCGACTGCTGATTTATATATAATACAGGATCACTTCTTATGTAATACAGGATCACTTCTAAATTGTGATAAAACAGTGTACCTATAGCGAAATTATTTATCTAATCCAAAAAGTCAGTCACATTAACATATCTCACTTATTATTTTTTGTACTCATAAGAAAACAATTGACAATGATTGCTCATCATTACTGTGCTGCACTACTGATATTAAAAAAAGTTCAATTAAAGTACAAAATATAACAACTAATATTGCCTTATCTTCAAGTATGTATAGCATAATAACATCATACATGTACATAAGCATACTCATCTTTTAGAAAAAAGTATCTTCCAATGCATGGACACTAATAACAAGTATATACACAACTACATGGGCCTCTTTTTCTCTAGCACATAATGGATACCCCAGCATTTCTTACTATCAAGAAATCATTTGTAGCCATTCCATATAGAGTTATTTTAACATCAAGTAATAATGTAAATTATTAATTAACTTGTATTTTACATTTACCAATACTTTTCCCAGGACCAAAAGACATGTCCAGGTTCATGACATGACGATGGCCACCTCCTTCAATCTCCCCAGGTCTGTCCCTTCATTTCCTCTCCATGACTTTGCCAATTGCTCCTCCCATAATAACAAGACACATCCGTAATACCACTGACTCATACAGGATCGTTAAACCCAGTATTCTTTTCACATCATGAATATACCTTTCCCGACTCCTTTGCAATTACATTTCCGGGATGTTTCACTTCAGTTATCAGTTTTCTGCAACATCAAGTAATATTAATCATATAAATTTCATTTCAACTTGTATTTTGCACTTTTTGCTTCAATTAGGACCACTTTCTTCAAGGGGTCTGTCCACATTAACAAAACAGGATCTTCATTCTCTTTACACCTATTCTTTTCTCACAGTTTGTAAGACTCTCCTGTTAAACACATGAAGTATATGCACTTGCCACAATATCTACTGACTCCTTACAGAAATGGGACTACTATATAGTTGGAGAACTTGGCATCACTTAATTGATAGTCACAACTCATCACTAAACTTTTTATGGCCACACACTCAACTGCATGCACACTTTATACATCTCCCTTTGTCATCTTTCTTGACTTTTCTCTCTCTCTTGAAAACTAATAATTTTGCATTTCCTTATCATCATAATTATTAATTAAAATAATGAGAGGGTGGAGCTACACACCCATAGATCATCAGCACACACTAATGGCGCTATGTGACGGTGATAGGCAGGTCATTCTCATGTGACTCATACCACTTTCTTTATGTTCTTAGGCAAATTTTTGTGCATCAACTCACTAAGGACTATTTGCTGCGCAGTTATTTAACATCAAGTACTATATAAAAGTAATTTTAATTTCTATTTTACATTTCTTAGGTCTATTTTCTGCGGGGAGGGGTACTTCTAAAGTCATTTCAGTTGGCAGGCCACCTTCATTACACTCCTCATATTTTCTTTTCAATGCCTTTGCTTTAGCGATACGTTGTTCCCGTGAGAGGACTGTAGTTGAAGGCGGAGTAGGACCTGGTGTCATCTGATTGTTTGTAGTGGTCAGGTGAATGTCTGCCCGAGCTGTCTCTTCCTCAAGTGGACATTTGGTGAAAAATTCCAACTCCTCCTCCGTGATTATTCCTAACCCATCATAATATGACATTATGGTAAGACCAATTTATAGTCACATACCTCCTTCATTCTCTCTTTCTTCTTCACTTTCTACATGCACTTCATCTTTGTCTTTTGCTAATTATTTATAATACACCATTAAAACATAGAATATTTAACTCACCTTTTCCTATCACTACTTTCTCATCTATCAATGACACTTTTATGGCACATTGTAATACAATCTTTATTCACAAACCTGTCTGTTTTACTTCTATCACATCTTTTTTCACCAACTTGCTCTTCTCTGCTTAACACAGAAAACTTTATACTGACAATGAAATTGTCACTCACCTTTTTCTACTTCCCCCCCTTCAGGTCTCTTAGACCCTTCTTTCTCTATTTAAAGCTATGTTAGTATTCATAGAAAATTGCATCATTAACCTTTTCCTTTTTCTCCAACCTCTTCTTTTCCTCCAACCTCTTCTTTTCTTCCTTTTTTCTCACCACCTTATTGTATATCCAATAATAGTATTTCATTGCAATTCTTCATTACCTTTTCTCTTCTTTGCACCTTTAAAACAAAGTATCATTTCAATTTACAAAATTTTGCACTTACCCATTCTTGCTTGTTTTTAAAGATGTCTTTACATTTTCACATATTTATAGCATTTCACCTTTGGCCACACCTACTTAATCATATTATCCACATACTCCCATTTCCATGTCAGACAGAGGGAGAGAGACAGGCAGTGAGACTGTATGCAAGACAAGTTCATGGTATACAATACTTAATTTGTTAGTCCATTATTATCATCATAAATGCATAAATTTTAGGATGAATACAAAGGCATATATAACTGATAGTTTAAACCATGCATTGTGTAGTCATTTCATCACATGCCTGTTTACTGTATCATTTTATCATTCACTTATATGTATGCACTATTATGCTTACCCAAATCATTGTGTACTATTTAAGTATTACAACATTTACAAAATGTTGTCAAAAGTTATAATAATAATAATGTG